ACTCAGCTTGGATGGAGACTCTTTCGAATTGCTTAGCTTGAAGTAAGTGCAACTAGTAGCAGCCAGATGACAACTGAGTGTTATGTGATTGTTTCTTTGCCTAGAGTGTGATACTCAGAAGCATTTTCTCCTCTTTAGAACAAAGCCTGCGCCTCTAACCCCTGAGTTACTCAAAAAAGTTTCAAGCTTGCCACAATCCTGGGACTGGAGAAACGTGAATGGTGTCAATTATGTCAGCCCTGTTCGGAATCAAGGTAAAAACAAATAATAAACTAAAACTCTGAATGAAATGCTCTAGAGCTCCTTTGATGTACTTTGAAATTTGCTGTTAACAAGAAGATTTTGTCTAGTGTCTTGCAGCTGACAGATTGCACCTTTACCATGAATAACCAACAGAAACTGGGTGGAGTCCAGGCTGACAACGCTGTGCCAAAATAGGTGGTGGTACTGGCTTATCTGAACAGCAGTGTCTTTTGCTGGAATGAAAGCAAATTACCACGGTGCCCTGCATAAAGATAGCTGTCAAGTTTTGCCCAAACAGTTTTGGTCATGGTTTTCTGCAAGCTGACAGAACTGATGTATATTTAATAAAACCTGCTGATGGCAAATTATCATGCAGCTTTAATGAGTAAACCCATGAAAATTGTTTATACTGCCTCCAAATCTTAGCACCCCAATCACTTTAGGAGTTACTTAAATGGCTAGTTCCAAGTCACTATGAAAAATGTGGACCCTGATTAAATACAGAATACTTGTAAAAAAAAAAAAACCTATTTTTTCTTTACCCCTGTGATAGGGCAGTGTTTAGCTCAAAGTAGACTTAAAAGGGTACAATTCTGGTGTATGTTTATTCTCTAGGGAGTGCTTGTATAGCGCTGTGGTGTGAGATACCTGAATTGGGTGGTTGCATACTGGAGGCCTGGAGTGGACTCAGTTAATGCGTCCCTTCCCTGCTCCACCATTTCCAGATAAACTTGGGTCTGCTGGTAGCTATCTGGTTGCAGCTTTGAGGGGAAGAGAACATAACGTTAGCATGGTAGGGAAGGGATGACTTAAATCGCTGGTCCCTTGTTTATGGTTTAGTTCTTCTGCCAGACTCTGCCAGCTGGACTCTTGGTAGCAGAAGCAGCATAGCAAGGCCTGTAGGAGTTCTAGCTCACAAGCTGTCACACTGAAAGATGGCAACAGGAAATTATACAGTGCTACGTAGGTGTGAGTCCTGTACTTTCTCCTGGTGTGAACTGTGAGTATCCCAAGGGCTCTTTCACCTTCCAAACAGATGAACGCTGTCCCAAACTTATCTTTTGTACATTGTGTTGCTTCAGAGTTTCTCTAAATGAGAACTAGTCTGTTGCTTCCAATAATAAAGCTGCCTACACTTTTCCTGTAATTTGAGAATCCATGCCGAGCATGTTCAATGTCTGTGGAGTATGCATTCTGCTCTATTAAATTAGAATTTTAGCTTTCAGGCTTTTGAAAAAAAACCACAAAACCTCCAAAAGATGACCTTGTGCAAAATTGTGCTGATAGACAAATTAAGTCTTGCTCATGGTAGCTTGTATGATTTTTCTGAGGCACTGGATATCAATGCTTCATTAAAACAATGATATTAGAAAGTCTTAGTTGTATATTGTTAAGCTTATTAGATGACTAATTAGAAAATGCCATGGGGGAAAAGGCTGTGAGCAGCAAGATGCAAGTTGTCTGGCACAGGCAGAGAGAATTGTATGAATTACAAGATCATGGTTTCTCAGATCTCGCATGCTTGTGGCGTAACTGCTCTTTAGCGAAGGAGAAAAAAAGTTACAGCATCTGAAGTGGACAAGTATTGATAGGGAAATGTGCATGCTCTGTGAAGTAGCTTGAGACATGGCAGGCTTCATGCAACTGCAGTTGCCTTGGACTGTAATATTTACTGCCAGCACGTTAGCAGCCCTGCTAGCATTTCCTATAGTCGAGAAGGTAAAGGTTGAGTTCTCATGTTGTTTATAGAGTAGTAGCTGCATCTTTGAGCCAAGAGATATGTTGTCTTTGAAGATAGTCGTGTCGTTGCTCGTTACCAACTTTGTAAGGGGGAGAAGAGGGCAACCTGCAGATTTTGTGAGCCTTAGAGTGCAGTTCCTGTTTCTTGCTGACTTCTTTGTGCAGGCTTTTTCTGCAGACCGAGGTAGGTGAAAAGCCTGGTCAGGTGATTCTGCGCTAGATGTGTTGTCTCCTCCTTACTGCTCATAATGTAACAGCCCTTTGCAGTAGAGTGAGTGGAATCTGATGTGGCTGAAGCTTTAGTTGACTCTGGAAGAGAATTTGTGGGAAGTCTTAGAAAAGCAGCTAATTGTGCAGCTGTGCTGGCTCTCTGCTGATACAGTGTGGCTGTCATGCTGTAGCCCTCACAAAGACACTGCGGTAGCAAGAAAGAAATTTAGCAACCACCCCAACAGCCTTCAGACTGAAATGGTTGTGTTAATTGTATTTTTTTTACATTTTTGCACAGAAAGTGCAAATCTCTGTGTTCTGCAGCGTGGCCCATCTCAGATGCTGTGACTGTACAGTGGGTGGGAGGCGCCTTTCACTGCTTCAGTTTGCCCTGCTGGGCAAAGAGCGTTCATATTCAGGCTGATTTTGCCCCTTCTCTTCAGAGCTGTATCTAACTGACTGAAGGTGCAATTTCACGAAGTCTTGCTTTTGTAATAGCTTTGCTTTTATACACCTACACAGTTCAGAAGAAAGTATATTGTTTTGTTCCTCAAGCCTCCCTCCTTTTCATAGCTCTGCAGTATTTGACTTTCCTACTGTCAGGAAACAAAAGGAAATGGGGCACCTTGGTGACAATCAGTAGATAAAATAGGACCTCATTCAAGTAATTGTCCTTCCCTGTGATGCTTGTCATTCCACTTCCAAAGTGTTTTTAATGTGTTACAGGAAGCTCCTAGGGAGTGAAGAGGCCTAACACTAGAAGCAATACTAAATTTTGATGCAAAAGTAAGGGGACTTAACTCTGCCAGGAAACAGAAGGGAAATTAAGGTGCCTGTGAAAGGCCAGTGTAAAAAAATTACATGCCCTTAGAAAGTAAGGGGAGCTGGGATGAATCCACTCTGTCAAACCTGCTATTTATACCACTAGACTCTCAAAAGTCAGTTATTTTAGGGGTAGCTCTAGAGGTGATATATTTTTTTCAGCTGGAAATTACAGCGTGAAATCCAATGATAGCTTGGAATAATTACAACAATACTGTCAGCATTCACTTAAAATAGCGCTTTCCCCCTCAGAATACATG